AGATGATTATTTTTAGCTTCTTGGCCTTTCATGTCGGTAGTTCTTTCTCAGTCTGTAGTACAGGTAGTTATTTCTTGGCCTTTAATATATGTCGTTATGAGATTCTGACATACATGCTTCCCAGCAGCACTGTGGCAGCTTTTTCTGGCTGGAGGAGGAAGAGTTGGGTTGGACCTAGCACAGGGGCGGGGACGGTGGGGTGTGGTGCAGTGACCCGAGAGACCAGGAGGGGCCGAGCTACCGAATGTGCATGGGCCTCAGTGCAGCTGGAGACGGGCAGTGGCCTTATGAACCGGCCCGTCACTCCTTACCAGGGAGCTCGGACTCAGACTGTCTACTGCACCGTTCCCATTCTTTCTTTCTCCACACCAGCTTCCTCTCTCAGTCCAGTCTCTCCCCTCGTGCATGCTGATAAGAGCTGAGCCCTCATTCAGCTTGCAGCTCCTGCCTCGGTTCTTCGTCTGGGGCAGATGCCTGGGGAGGACGCTGACCGCTGTGTCATCTGGAGCTGCGTGCACACTTACCTCCTGCCCGTGGGCCAGCTGCCCTGTAGTCAGGGTTTCCTCTCTGCTCCAAAGTGGGAGGAGAGCAGAGTCGGGTAACGGAGCTTGTGCCTGCTCAGACAGCAGGGCTGTGGGCAGGGCGGTCCCCGCGGCAGCGGGCTGTAGAGCCATGGCAGATCGACGACCGTAAGCCTTTTGGGGGAATCAGCCAGGCTACGAAAAGACAGGTCTCGGAGCTCACCTAAACTAGCGTGCGTATTTCACAGGGAGTGGGCGCCTGTGCTTGGACCTCTTCATTACAACTGATGGTAGCTGGGCTGTAAGTGTGAATAAGATTCACGGCTCTTCCCCCGCCCGAATATATAAATAAATAAGTATAGCCTCGAGACTAGTTCGAAAGGAAGGATCCTTTGGAATGACCCTCTTGAATGGACACGGTCTTACCAGGTGCTAACATCCACACCTGCACTGAGGTCACTGCGAGGAGTGCTCATCTGGGGGCAGGCAAGAGGGGACACTCACCTGTCCACCCACTGCAAAGTCGTTTCAGAGCTTGTTCTGGTTAAATACGTACCTCAATATATTCGCCTACAACACGTAACTGTTCTCCCAATCTAATGCTACATAATTAATGCATAATTAATGCACAATTAATGGGTTTTTTTTGAGAGAGATTTTTGCCTTAGGGTGTGTGCATTCACTAGAGAGACAGAAAGAGAAAGCAAGAAATCACCACCCCAGGGGTGGGGAGCTGCAACCCCCTCTTCTCCATTCTCTTCTTGGTATTTCCGGAATGCATGCACATGCACCCAGTGTGAGTTTTAAGCCTCTGGGTCCAGGCCTTGAACCATGGTTGACCAAGTAGTAGTCCAGCACCTTAACCACTATGACACCTGCTGGCCCTGATAATTAATGGACTTTTATCAAAGGATTTCTGATAGTAAATACCAAGCCACCTTATGTCAGCATTCCCTAGCGTGGAGTTTTGAGTACTACGTTAGAACCCCAGGATGAACATGCTAACATACATATTTTTCATGATAAACAGCGGTAAAGGGAGCGAGGCAGTGGAGCAAGTGGTAACACAGCTGGACCCACATGGGGAGGCCTCCCTGTCCACCCCGGGGCTGCTCCATGCACACGCCTGTGATCCAGCCAGTGCAGGCTCATGGTGGACTGCAGAGTGAAGACCCTGCTGGGGGTGACTCTCTCTACCTCTCTCTTCCCTCTCTTTCCTTTGCTCATGGAAATAAATAAACTTTAAAATGTAGAAAGAAATATCAAAAAAGTAGTAAAAGATTTTAAGATATTGACCCACACTGAGAAGAAGGTATTTCGTGGAAGGCAGGTGTCTTCCACGGAGGCCCCATTAGCGTTTGGAACTAGGCGAGCCCTCGCTGTGGGGAGCTCTGCTGTGGCCTCCACACTCAAACGCTGGTCACACATGGCCACCCCTGACGTGTGACAACCGACTAAACTGCTCCCTGGGGGCAAAATCACCCTGAGTTTAAAACTGCAGGAAGACCTTTATTCCCCAGAGGAGTGACTTCCACTCAAAGTATTAAGAATTGTTTTCTAGTCATTGGAATCATTTTCAGATTTTACAAATACATTCTTCAGGAATTTCATTGAGCACTATGAGGTTGATAGCGTCTGTTTTGTCTCTCCTCAGTGAATCAAAAATCTCACATGCCTGACTTAGCCTGACAAATTTCATTAGCAGCCTCGTAGCCAGTAATTCTATTAATTTACTGCAGTGTCAGAGAATCCCCTGTGGCCCGTGGTGTCTAAATATGCTACACGTCCACTCAAGGAGTCCCTTGCAATCTTGAAAAAGCTGGCGGAACACTGGGAAAAGCACCTGGAAGAAAGATGATCTTCATGCCCTTGGCCAAAGAGCATTCATTTCTTTTTGAAGAAATACCCCATCTTCTTTGAAGTGTTGAACACTTTGGACTAATGAAGAATGAATAGAAAACTTGCATGGGAGAACAAAATAGTCCATGTCATCCTTTCCTTTCCATCTAAAAATAGGATTCACCAAAACAAAGTCATACACGTTATTATAGTTGGATGTCGCTGTTAACATTTATATGAGGGTGCGAGATAGGAAGAATAATTTATTTTAAAATACAGTGAGTAGCCCATCTGGCACGTAGATCAGGAATTCTCTCATGTGGAATCTGCCTCGCTTACAAGTTTGCTGAGGGCACATGCAGCACCGACGTGAAGGCCACGGGCACGGGCTCTCTGCAGGAGAAGGGCTGCTGTCCTGGGTCTGGAGCAGTGTGAACGGTGGACAAGGGGGTGTTCTGTATCCGATGTATTTCTACAACTTTCATCATTCTTACCATTCTTACCATAATTATCATTATCTACAAAGAGGTTCTACTGAGGTGATCCATCTCGAATGTCTGTAATTCCATTTATCATGTAGGATCGGATCCTAGATCTGCCTTCTCATCCTAGAAAAGCATTAAGAACAGGTTTGAAAGGCCTCGTCCACGCTCCCCGCCTGCAGGTACCCCGCCCAGCGCATGTGGGTACACGTTGTTATGGGGTTACTTCTGACTGCAGGTCGGGCGGTTACTGCTCTAATTTAGAACCACAATGGAACTTTTCTTAAGTTTGCTACAAGGCATGTGTGCTTGCCAGTGGGAGACAGACAGGGAGAGGGAAGGAGGAAGGGAGAGAGAGAGAGAGACAGAAAGCAAGAAATCGCCCCTAGGGGGATGGCTACACTGCAATCCCTTCTCCTCCATTCTCCTCTCAGGATCTTGGGCATGCACGCACACGCGCCCGGTGTGAGGTTAAGCCACCGGGTCTGGGACTCAAACCGCAGTCGGCTACATGGGAGTCCAGCGACATAGCCATTGCGCTAACTGCTGGTCCCGACAAACTCACATTTTAACAACAGCATTTATTATTATCATATCATTTTGCCATTAATCTAAAGCTGGCAAATAAAGTTACACACACTTGTCATGTACAACACGACATTTTGAAATCCTATTTGTTGTGCGGTGGTTAAACTGGGCTAACCAACATCTGCATTAGCGCATATACTTATTTTTTTGTGAAAACACTGAAAATAGGCTTTTCCAACACACATGAAAACTTTATTGAGGAGAATTTTGGAGTAGTTTTTTGAAGTTAACTTTTTAAAATAGGTTATTTATATCTTCCACGAGTGAAGAGCGATACGGCACCCTCCCAGGTCACGCCATCACAACCCGCCCCATCTCAGCCAGCCTGGATGAGGGGTGCCCACATGCTCACATCCTCGGGGGTCGGAGGTCAGACAGGAGCCCCGGCCTCCCAGAGTGTACGCCCACTGCTGCACGGCTGTCCCTCAGTGACGGTTTCACCACAGCGCCTCAGTGTAAGGAAATCCTGTCACACCCCCGGGAATCGGGATGCTAATGGGAATTTGAGGGGCCAGAAGGTGGTTAAGGTGCTGGACTCCCACGTGGTGGATGGCAGTTCGAGTCCCAAACCTGGCAGCTTGCTTTCTCCCTCTCCCTCTCTCTCTCTCTGTCTCTCTCTGGTCAAATTAAACAAATAATAATGATAGAAAATGAAATGAAATAAAATAATTCTTTGGGGACCGGCAGGTAGAATGGTGGTTAAGAGCCCTGGACTCCTACATGGCCGACCATGGTTCCAGTGCCAGACCCTGCAGCTTGTTTTTTCACTTTCCCTCTCTCTCTCTCACCCTGTCCATCTCTGGTAAAATTTAAATAAGTAAAAATTTAAATAAAATAATTCCTTTTTAAAAAAAAAATTCGATGCGAGTACTGAAACATACATCCCATCATTGAGTGTGTAGTCACCATGGCGAAGTCCTCAGCAATGTGACTTTAGCTAGTTACTGGTCTCACACTGACTGCACTCCAGAGATGAACCCAGCATCAAGCCTTCTAATTGATCACAATTGTTTATTTCCATGGAAAAAGTTAATTTATGTTTAATATGCAGTGGGTACTCGCTCACCAGAGAGAGCCAAAGAGGAACAGAGAGAAGGAAGTGAACAGCACGCCCCGGAAGGACGGCCATGCTGCAATCCTTTCTCCTCCATTGTCCTCGTGGGATTTGGGGCACACGCCAAGCCTCTGGTCTGGAACTCACTCTGTGCAGTCAGCCACGTGGGACCCAGCCACCTTACCCGCCACGCCACCAGCTGACGGCACAACTGCTGATTTTGCTGCTCATTGGTTTTTGATACAGGGCATGTGCAGTTATCAGAGAGCGTGAGAAACCACATCCCAGTCCTTCCCCATTCTCCTTTCCAGATTTGGGCACACGTGTACTCGTGCCCAGTGTGTGTTTGAAGCTGCGAGTCTGACACTCAGGACTGGGCACTCGCTCTGTGAGGTCGGCCGTGTGGGATCCTGCCTCCTTACCCACCACGCCACCTGCTGGCCCACAGTTGCCTAGTCATGGCTGGCAGGGTCCACCTGCTTGATATTTCATAAACATCTCCTGAAAGGCGAAAACATGGTACGAGTGAGTAGGCACCCTCCGAGTATTTGGAAGTGTGCCATATGTAATTCTGAAGGTAGCGTTTTGTTCAGCATATTATGATTTCTGAAACAACTTTACCTGGCTTTCTCACAATAACCCAGTGAAATGTTGTTTTGTTCACGTTAGAAGGTGTCCCTGTTGTTCACGGTCACACAGACTTACGCGTGACAGAGCTCAGAGTCAAGGTGTTTTCTTGGTGTCTGGGAACTCGGAAACTATCCAATTCAGTTTCCTCCATGAAGGCATGATATTACCATGAGCGTGAGGATGCAGAGAATGGTAGCAATGGAGAACAGGATTATATGTACCTTTTTTTTTTTCCATGTGAAGGTAAAGTGGGAGAAAATTGTAGACCTTTGGAAAGATACGTGATTAATAACAATGAATCTCTTTGCCATCGAACAAGAAAGCTTTGACCTGTTGCAAGGTGGTTTCTGAGTAAACAGCATACACGTTCTTGACGTCTGGTTAAAGGGAGGTGGACTTAATTATCCAGAATGAATGTTACCTTTCAGGATTTTTCCGAAATGCTTACTTTCTGTATGGAGGCACGTGAGGTCCATAAAGCGCAATTAGCTTCAGTGTTTGTCAACTTGCTGTGTGCGGATTTGGGGGTGCAGAGCCGGGGCGGGGTGAGGCAGCGTCCGTCGTCCCCCCCGCCCCGTGCAGAGAAGCCAGCCTCCTGCTCTGTGTCGAGTTCCGTCTGTTCAGGGCTGCTGGATCCTGCTGTGCTGCTGATTTACTCTCAGTGGATGGTCATACCCCGTGCTGGTACGGTTCTTTAAAACGCATGGCTGAAGCGCTGAGACCGTCACCCTTCCTCCCCTGTGGCTTGGTCCCTGTTCCCAACCCAAAGCCTATGCCTCTCACTGCCCGGGAAATCTGGGGAGGAAGACACGCGGGTGGTGACCTCAGCGTGGCCTTTCATGGGAGACTTGACAGCTTCCAGCTCACCAGGCAAACCAGTTCCTAAAATGAAGCTATTAGGTCATCGGGAACAGTTCTTCTACGCAAAAATGTGTCATGACTTTTCCAACGATCCAATAGAATAAGGTAAAAAGGAGCCGGTTGAGCGAGCCTGTCCCCGATGTCAGTCTTCAGGCCACAGAAACAACTCCAACTGCACACCTCTATAACTGCCTTCAGGACGGCTGGAAGTCACTAGAAAGGTCCAGAGAAAGGCAATTGACAACCTGTATGAGTCGAACAGAGAAACGGAAATGTTTCATTCAAAAAGTATTTGCAGTTTGGGGACCAGCAGTTAGCGTAATGGCTATGTCGCTGAACTCCCATGTAGTAGATTGTGGTTCGAGTCCCGGACCCGGTGGCTTAAACTCACACCGAGCATGTGTGCGTGTGTGCCTAAGATCCTGAGAGGAGAATGGAGGAGAAGGGATTGCGGCGTGGCCATCCCCCTGGAGGGTGATTTCTGGCTTTCTGTCTCTATGTCTTTCTCTCTGTCTGTCCGGTAAGTGCATGCGCCCTGTAGCAAAAACCACTCAAAAAAAAAAAAAAAAAAAGTATATGCAGTTTTAAAAAACATTCCTTTCAAGTGAATTCACTTTTAGCTACTTTTGATCAAACATTCCTTTCCAAAACGGAACTACAGAATATCTGGAGGTGAATCTCTGTGAGTGTGGGTCTCTCTGCGAGGTTTCCCTTATGATCGCACTACCTCGACTGCCAACCTTGACTTCAACTGCATGACTTCGCTCTGTGGCTAGAAGTGTCTGTCCAGACACTCAGGTAGGGAGGGCCCTAGTTCAATACCTGTTGGGGGCCCTGTTCTTGAAGGTGCAAATTTCTACACGTTCAAACGCAGGCTCAGGGGACATTGGGCCGAGGGTCTGTGAGCTCCCACAGAGGCCCCTGCCATCAGTTCTTAACAAAGGGCTTTAGACGACGACAGTAAAATTCCCTTTCGGTCTCCTTTGTTTCGCAGGACTACACGCTTACCATGTATTTCCAGCAGTCCTGGAAAGACAAAAGGCTTTCTTACTCTGGAATCCCGCTGAACCTCACCTTAGACAACAGAGTGGCTGACCAGCTCTGGGTACCAGACACCTACTTCCTGAATGACAAGAAGTCGTTCGTGCACGGTGTCACGGTGAAAAATCGCATGATCCGGCTGCACCCCGATGGGACGGTCCTCTACGGCCTCCGGTAAGTGGCTCTGCTCCGCGTTGCGCGTTTTGCTGCTGTTTTTGTAGCAGATGTTTTATTCTTTACTTTTGGAAATGAGGAGAAGGGAAGAGCTGAGTTAGAGTATTTAAATACTCTTAGATGTGTAATAAACTGATAGTAAAGATCGTATTGAAGATTTGGAACCGGATGAGTTCAATTTTGGCAACGCTGTCCATCACGTGTAAGTGAATTCTTTGCCTGACCTTCAAATGAGAAACATCTTAATAAAATGCCTTTGCTAGACAGATTTCACATGGAGGCCACGTTCTTCAAGTTGTATCTTCTTTGAGTCAATTCCTTGATTATCCGGAAGGCACCCAGGCTGAACTAAGATGTGCTCGGCGTGGAATATAGCTGCTGCACTAGGAAACCTTTTTTTTTTTTTTTTTTGAAGAAATAGAGATTTATTTTGTGCTGGCTTTGAAAGGGTCCTCTTGTTTTTATCCCTTTAAATTTTTGTGCTTTAGTTTTTATATGTAAGTCTATGTTTCACACTGAATTTGTGTTTTCTGTGCGGTAGGGTACAGGCTTGGGGTTTTCCAAAGGGCTATCCAGTTACTCCAGCCCCGTTCGTCTACAGATTTCCCTTTCCTGGATAGCATGCTGGTGCCTCTGACAGACGGGGGGTAGGGGGGGGTAGGGGTGGAGGGGGCGTGTCTGGCCTCTCTTCTGATCCATTGTTCTGCATGTCTGTCTAGACGTGCTGTGAATGATTGTAGCCAGGAGTTTAAGTCTTCCAACTTCGCACTTATTTCTCAAGACTTCTTCGCTTATTTTTGGCACTTTGAATCTCCCTAAAACTTTTAAAATCACCTTATCAATATCTATTTAACAGTCTGCTGGAATTACAATTGGGATTCTTGGCTCCATAGATCAGTTTCGGAAGAATTGGCATCTTAATGTTACCAGGTCTTCCTATCTGTGACATGCTATATTTCCATTTATTTAGGTTACATATAGTTTATATCAGCAACGTGCTAGATGGTAGTGGGTTTTGTTTTGTTTTCATTTGTTTAAAAATCAAGGATAAAGGGGTGTTTGTAGTCCTCATACAGTTAAGAGCTTATGAAAACTTTCAGGCTATGTTTCAAAATCGACGTCCAGTTTTGCCGAAGCATGCCTGCACTGCGGCTTGTCACTCTAGGTATGCGAAGTGGTGGCTCTTTAACCTTTGGTGTCCTTTCCGTGATCCCTTTGAAAAGCAGACAAGAGCCAGCTATCCACAAACCCATATAGGCCCCAAGTTTTCCTGCCTTTTCAGAGTATTCGTAAGGCCCTCAAATACTTTCCTGGGCCATGAATACCAAGCTAAAACTCTGGTGATAGGGGTCAGATCCTACAATCAAGTTCACCGGTACCCCAAACAATATGCAAGTAACAAACTATGCGTGATAAAACTTCTAATCTTAACCTAGTGGTTAGTTAGTTAGTTAATGCATAGTAAAATCATGTAATTTTGTTCAAGTTGGTCTCTACAAAATGTTTGGGATTTTTCTACCCTTTCAGTATCCCAAGAACTTTCAACTCCAGTTAAAAATTTCTGAGCTATAAGTTTCTCAGAGGGGCCAGCAGATGGCATGGTGGTTATGGCTCTGGACTCCCATATGGCAGACCCTAGTTCGAGTCCTGAATGTGGTGGCCTGAAAATCACACTGGGTGCATGGGCATGTGTGGCCAAAATCCCAAGAGGAGGGTGGAGGAGAAGGGATTGTGGTGTGGCCACCTCCCGCCAAGAGTGATTGTTCACTTCCCCTGCTGTCTGTCTCCAGTGAGTGCACACCCTCTGGGAAAAACCTTTAAAAAAAGTTTCTCAGCAAAGTGATTAAATAAACTAACAGTTCTGTGAGTCTACTGACAATTACTGTAGGCAACATCTGCTAACCCAAGGCCGGCGACTGATCATGAGTGAAGTGAACACACCGGAAGCCCGTTACGTGGAGCTATCAGCTATCAGACACACCTGAGGCATGCAGGGTGCACACCCTTCTGAAGCATCTGAGATAATTATGCCTTTACCCATCTTATGAGACTGACCACCACTGCGTGTACACATATACTAAGGAGTTAAGACTATGTGGGACTCAGCAGATGGTGGAATGGTTATGTTGCTGGACTCCCATGTACTCAACTGCAGTTCAAGTCCTGGACCCCGAGGCTTAAAAGTCATGCCAGGCATTTGTGTGTGTGTGTACCCAAAATCCCAAGAGGAGAAGGGACTGTGGCATGGTCATCCCCCCCGGGGGTGATTTCTCACTTTCTGTCTCTCTGTCTCTTTCTCTGTCTCTCCAGTGAGTGCGCATACCCTATAGCAAAAATCTCTCAAAAAAATGTTAAAAAGACAAAGACTATATAAGAAGTCATTTGGTTATAGGAGAAAAGGTAATTAGATTTTTTTGACAGATAAGAATGTGGTTGCATTCTCATTTACAGAGAACTGCACTTTAGCATTTCCCAAATCCTTTAGTGTCCACCAATGAGAATGAGATAAAGGAAGAAACATATTTGAGGATCAAGAAGGTCACACATCATTTGACAGTTGGGAAAAACGGAGGCACAGGATGGGGAAGGCCTCACCTAAGGGCATATTAATGTAACGGCAGAGTGAACTACAGTTCACGAATCCTGATTCCCGTCCTGGCTTTCCCCAGTCCACCGCCTCTCAAGGGTACACAGACGTCAACACTTCCTTCCGCGTTGTGCAACGTTGCTTTCTCGACTTCAGGGCCAAGTGGGTCATTGCAGCTGTGAGCCTGCAGGTGGGCAACAGCCTTCTGCAGAGAAGCACAAACCGTCCTCTATCTGGGCTCTCGTCTGCGGCATCAGCTTTCTTTGTCCGAGCCTGTCCGAGCCTCACACCAGCTCTGCTGTCGTCCCTTCTTCCTCCATTTCTTCCTCACTCTTCGCTCCTGGGTGTGGCTTTTCCTCTCCTTAGAAGTTATAAACTTATAGCGATGGACTCCCATGGCCGACCGTGGTTCAAGTCCCGGACCCAGTGGTTTGACGAGTGCAGCTCTGGACTCCCATATGGCAGACCCTAGTTCGAGTCCTGAATGTGGTGGCCTGAAAATCACACTGGGTGCATGGGCATGTGTGGCCAAAATCCCAAGAGGAGGGTGGAGGAGAAGGGATTGTGGTGTGGCCACCTCCCGCCAAGAGTGATTGTTCACTTCCCCTGCTGTCTGTCTCCAGTGAGTGCACACCCTCTGGGAAAAACCTTTAAAAAAAGTTTCTCAGCAAAGTGATTAAATAAACTAACAGTTCTGTGAGTCTACTGACAATTACTGTAGGCAACATCTGCTAACCCAAGGCCGGCGACTGATCATGAGTGAAGTGAACACACCGGAAGCCCGTTACGTGGAGCTATCAGCTATCAGACACACCTGAGGCATGCAGGGTGCACACCCTTCTGAAGCATCTGAGATAATTATGCCTTTACCCATCTTATGAGACTGACCACCACTGCGTGTACACATATACTAAGGAGTTAAGACTATGTGGGACTCAGCAGATGGTGGAATGGTTATGTTGCTGGACTCCCATGTACTCAACTGCAGTTCAAGTCCTGGACCCCGAGGCTTAAAAGTCATGCCAGGCATTTGTGTGTGTGTGTACCCAAAATCCCAAGAGGAGAAGGGACTGTGGCATGGTCATCCCCCCCGGGGGTGATTTCTCACTTTCTGTCTCTCTGTCTCTTTCTCTGTCTCTCCAGTGAGTGCGCATACCCTATAGCAAAAATCTCTCAAAAAAATGTTAAAAAGACAAAGACTATATAAGAAGTCATTTGGTTATAGGAGAAAAGGTAATTAGATTTTTTTGACAGATAAGAATGTGGTTGCATTCTCATTTACAGAGAACTGCACTTTAGCATTTCCCAAATCCTTTAGTGTCCACCAATGAGAATGAGATAAAGGAAGAAACATATTTGAGGATCAAGAAGGTCACACATCATTTGACAGTTGGGAAAAACGGAGGCACAGGATGGGGAAGGCCTCACCTAAGGGCATATTAATGTAACGGCAGAGTGAACTACAGTTCACGAATCCTGATTCCCGTCCTGGCTTTCCCCAGTCCACCGCCTCTCAAGGGTACACAGACGTCAACACTTCCTTCCGCGTTGTGCAACGTTGCTTTCTCGACTTCAGGGCCAAGTGGGTCATTGCAGCTGTGAGCCTGCAGGTGGGCAACAGCCTTCTGCAGAGAAGCACAAACCGTCCTCTATCTGGGCTCTCGTCTGCGGCATCAGCTTTCTTTGTCCGAGCCTGTCCGAGCCTCACACCAGCTCTGCTGTCGTCCCTTCTTCCTCCATTTCTTCCTCACTCTTCGCTCCTGGGTGTGGCTTTTCCTCTCCTTAGAAGTTATAAACTTATAGCGATGGACTCCCATGGCCGACCGTGGTTCAAGTCCCGGACCCAGTGGTTTGACGAGTGCATGTGTGTCCAAAATCCCAGGAGGAGAATGGAGAAGGGATTGTAGCGTGGCCATCCTCCCAGGGGGTGATTTCTCAGTTTCCCTCTCACTGTCTCTTTCTCTCTCTCTTCGGTGAGTGCACATGCCCTAAGGCAAAAAACCTACAAACAAACAAACAAAAAAAGAAGTTATGGATAACCTGGAGAGGCCATTAGGTATAGCAGAGAAAGTATGACATCAGGACTCAGAACTGAAGTTGGGCTCAAATGCCAGTTTTCTGCCTGCGTGACCTCGGGTGAATTGCGTAAATTGGCTGAAGCTTAGTTTTATTATCTGTGGTAAGGGGCTAATACTCCCTGACTCATATGGGGAGTTAGGATCTTATGAAATAATTAATACGATAATGCATAGTAAAGCCTAACTAGTGTTTTACTTAAGTAATCGTGCTTTATATAGCCTTTTTAGGTGCTAGAAAACTGCATGCTGAAGGTAGTTCTCTAATGCCCCAGAGAGTCAATGACTAGAACAGACAGAAAGTTGTCCAATTAAGAAAGCACGCACTGGGGGCCGGC